CCTTCCCATCTAACTTCTCGCCATCCACGAGAAGAGGACAGTAACTCCAGTGGAGGCGTCCAGACACGAGGGGCAGATGAACCGCAGCACAGGGAAAGGAAGGGATACAGGTAAAAGAACTAATAAATGACGAAAAGTCGGGCAAAAGGCAGTCACGAGTGGTGCCAAACATAGGGGTAACAAGGAAGAGCGATTACAAACTGTTCGCCCTGAGCTTCACAAATCCGACATCTTCAGTAGGGCTGCAATTGCTAAACCTCTGTTTACTGAAGGTAATGCTCAGATAGGTATAGCAAGTGTCACGTAACTTCGAACAAGGCCAAGAGCGCCAAGAGTAACCTTGAATGCGCAGGAGAAAAATTTCAAACAAGGGGGCGGGTTGCGGAAATGCGGGGAATGCGTGGCCTTGTTCGAAGTTACGTGACACTGTTTCGTTTTTCTAAACGATGGTGTCACGACCATAAATCCTGGACATCAGACAACTGGAAACGTGCGTGATAGGTCAGATGAGTCATCCTTCACGCTGTTCCCTACATCAGGAAAAGTTTACGTTTGGATGACACCTACGGAAGCCTAGAATCCGGAATGCCGGGTTCCAACTCTAAAACACCCGGGAGGTTCTGTGATGGTTTGGACAGCAATATCGTGGTATTCTGTTGGTCCATTATTACCCTTCGTCTCCGAATTACTGCAAGGGGGTATGTTGGCAGGTTGGGTAATCAGGTGAATCCCAGTTATTTCCGAACAACGATGCAGTTTTCCAAACGACAGTGCCATCATTCACACAGCTGGAACTGTTCAGTCATGGTTTGAAGAGCGTTCAGGTGAACTTAAACTTGTTCCTTAACCAGCACAATCACCAGATTCGAACATCAATGAACCACTGCTGTCAGTTTTGGAGACTACAGTGCGGAACAGACTCCCAACTCCGACATTTCTAAAGCAACTTGAACATGTTCTTCAAGAAGAATGGTATAAAATTCCGTTAGAGACTGTTGAAAACTTGTACGAGACCATTGAAAGAAGGATTGCCGCTATATTGAAGGCAAAAGGTGGTCCAGCACCATATTAATACTGTCACGTGTCTTAGTGACTTCAGACGCGGGCTTGGCTCAGTGAGTCGATTTATTAGATATGCACGATGTGGAACTACAGTTAGTAACACAGTCTTACTGTAACTAGAACACTTCGTAGCTACGAGCAGTGATGACACTAAAGGTTACTGTAGCTACACCACATAAACTGCATACTTCACTTCTCACTTCTGTGTCTGACTTCTTCTGCCTTTTCTGTTTCTGTTTGGATCTCACTGGAAGTTCTGACTGAGCGAATTCTTTCCCGATTCGTCTTCCATCTGAGTGTGAGCCTTATGTTACGACCGACGGCCAGTCGGCCAGTCTGTCTTGGAATATAACGCCGATCTGGGGCTTACGACCAGATTTTTATTCCTGTCAGACAGTTGCTTGTTTGTTGATGTGGGGCGCTCTCTCTGACGAGATGACGGGTCTGTCGTTAACAGTTGCTGCTGGCTCTCGCCAGCGCAGTCTTTCTTGGGTCCGAGTACCGTGAGACTCGTGACCATATTTTGCTGTCTCAGATTCGAGACTTCCCTTTTCGTCACCTCCTACGACTCGCAGGGTCACCGTGGAGGTATTCGACCCCTACGCCACACGGGTAAATTCGTCCGTCTGGAAAATTGCTTACCTGTTATAATGTTTCGGCGAACCGTGTAGAATTCACTTCTTTCGGCAATACAATTATTGCATTCTTAGCCGTTACTGTGCTTTGAACGATTCGTTGCCGCAGATATCAGCTTTCAACAGTTAAAGTTGCCATAGTAACCGAAGCCGTTGTACCGGGAACGCCCTGTGTTTATACTCATTGCCTAGGGAACCAACATTCGATGTGACGTCCCTATTCCGGCTTTCAGGCGTCACGTCACAATAGTATGGCATATTGCTAAGCAGTGACTCAGTAAACAGCCCTTTGCTAGGTAACACCTGCAACATACACGCACGCGACAATAGCAGGACGGTGTTTTCTATATGGTCTGCTTCGCGATCGTGGCTACGCAAAGGCTCAGTCAACACCTCTACAATAATACGAGGGACTGTGTTTTCTGTGTGGTCGGTACCGAGTTGTTATCTTGAAGACAATTGGCGCTACAATTTTGTTACAGGATATTCGCCGGACAGTAACAACGTAAGCACAGAAACCGGGGAAACTTTATTGTTAAGATTCGTTACCAAGTAACGACTTGTGAAACAGACTGAGAAGACTTAGCGTGGAGTGATCTGTGGTATGGAAATCGGCAATAATGTTGTAGTTATTTGTCGTTACGACCTCTAAGTGGTCAACAATTTCACCAATCCAAACGCCATTTATAGTCACTAATACACGTGACCTTTTTGGCTAGATGGCAGTGTGTATATGTGGCTGATATAAATTCATTATGCCCGTGTGCAGTGTTATGAATACATTGCTTTCATTGGACTTCTCATTTTGCTTAGAAGTAATGGTTTTCAGATATGTGTAACTCCATTTTTAGTACTGACCAATTCTTTCTTCCTTTAAAATTTTGCTTTGAAAATATATACCAATTTCGTGAAGCCTATGAACTCTTTTTCCTGATAATGTCAATACAGTAAGAGTTTAATTGTTGTTAACTCCAGATAACACGTGACTTCTTAATACCCTCCTAGGATGCTAAATTAGTAGCATTTATTCAACAATTGCAAAAGCCCTTATAATAGCTCTGCATTACATACATTGGCTCTGCTCAGCCAATACTGTCTATTGAAATAAGAAAGACAAGTCACACCCCACTTTGTCTCCTTCCCTATACCAAAACATGTGCCATTTTTAGATTATAAAGGGTTCTCTCGATGGTGGAGATGGTCCAGTGATTGAGGTTAGCTCTTTCTGCGCACATTTCATGAACATTGTACTTGTATATCCTTTTTTTTTTTTTAGCAATGTGTAGGCCTTATTTTGAAAGTAAACTAGCTGTTTCCGGCGTAACTTAGGCCGTTCTAGCAGATCTTAAATGTTATTAATTAAAAGCAACGCATTTTATTTATTCATATATTTCATTTCATTTGACAGTTAACCTGTCGTGCCTCCTCGTCCAGTCGTTGCATTACTTCGGCCGCACGCCCTTTGATTGTGTTTTTAAGCAGTTTTGTTGTTACTGCAGCAGAATCGAGAATATTTTGTCAATATCCTGGTTTATTTGTCTTGTTTGGATATAGTGGCTAGACCAAGTGGTAAATATGGCGGTGTATCCGGAAATGGTTTGGAGCATTTCCGGGTGGCGATTTAATCTCGCCCATTGCTGAATTGTACTCTCGTCTATGTTCTCTGTAGGTATTTGCTTTGCATGTATCCCCTGTAAGCTCTGGTTATACAGCCATTGTCATGTGACACCATCAGCATTCCCGCGAACTCGTTTCAACTGTTGAGGAGTGAAAAGTCAAAGTTACTTTACGACTGCCTGTTTACCACCAATAAGTTCGTCTTGGCGTCAAGCCCTTTGAAATCCACGACCAGAGTTCTTATTTTCAACCGAACCCTTGCCGTAATAGTCCTTATGTAACGTCCTTTTTGACAAGAAGATGGGTTTATCTCTTATGGATATGCTTTGCCTTGTCAAATGTACGTATCGCACATTTAGCATTTTATTGAAAATCCTCTGTCAGTACAGGCTTTGCAAAGCAGATCATTCCCGTCTTACATATCTTCTGCTACAACGGCAGCTTAGTCACTGGAACGGTCGTAAGCTTGAAATCCGCCAAGTTTAAGCCTCCTGTATTTTCAAGGTGTGGAGTCAAGAGTCAGAATTACTTCACGACTGGCGGTTTACAGCCAATCAGTTCGTCTTGGCGACAAGCCCCCTGAGACCCACGATCAGAATTTTTGATTTCCAACTGAACACTTTCGGTTATAGTCCTTATGTAACATCCTCTTTAGCGATAGGATGCGTCTGTCGTTTACAGCTGCTGCTGATCCTCGCCAGTGTAGTTCTTAGGTCCGAGTCCCGCGGGACTCATGACCACATTTTACTGTCTCAGATTCGAGACTCCCCCAGCCTGGAGGACAAGGTCCCTCTATTTATATACCTCAGGAACAGGGTGGCCTGATACTGGGTTCCCTTTTCGTCGCCTTTAGAGAGGTGGGGGTATTCGACCCCGCCTCCACACGGGATTCAAGGAATGGAAACGTACCAAAGCGTGTTATATGCACTGTGCTATGACGGCTGAAAGCCGGAATCGTGAAACGAGTGGAGTCGGTCATTGATAGGCAACGGCGCGGTGAACACTTTTGTAAGGAAACCAGTAAACATGTTCCCGCACCAGAAATACCCGGACAATTGCTAGATAATACGTCTCGCAGCAATAGAGGGAATGTTGGAAGAGCTGTTTCCAAATGGGTCCGTGCCCAGGAATCTCCACTGTTAGCAGCCGTGACCTACGAACACTTAGTGACGACTGTTGTCTGTAGAGTACGCAAATTAGCGAGAGTGTTATAATCCTTCGACCCCTTCTGTGGTCTAGTGGTCAGAGTTCCTGGCTACAGATCCAGAGGTCCCGGGTTCGATTCCCGGCGCTACCAGATTTTCTGACAAGTAGTGGGTCTGGAACGGGGTTCGGTCAGCCTCGTGAGGATAATTGAGCAGCTATTCAACGGAAATAGCGGCTCCGGTCTAGAAAACCGAGATTAACGGCCGTGGTGATTCGTTGCGCTGACCACGCGACACCCTCTATCCGCGAAAGTTGGCACTAAGTTCGCCGACAAGCATCGGTCGCTCGGTCGGTATAGTTCCAGTGCGGAACGAAACCACGGAGTTTGTTTTTTGTTTTTGTTATAGTCCTTTGTAGTTACGAATTGTAAGTGTTCAGTAACTCCATTTACTAGTCCAGTTCTCGTGTCTGGTGGCAATATGTATACTACGTATATTTAATCATTCTTGTGTTTTAATTTTTGTGTTTTTCTACTTTCAGGCGAGATTCCTCGTCCTGTCCTGTAATATACTCGTGTGTGATTTACTTGGTGATAAGAAAGGCAGCATCTAACACCATGGCGTTCGCAGGCCTCAAGAAACAAATCAATAAAGCGAACCAGGTAAGAAAATTCTATGACTATATTGCAAGAGGTAATTGCATCGTAGGTGGTAGATAGGAACACAGTGGAACGAGCGCAAGGATACAAGTAGTTGCAGATAGTTGCGTGCTTTGTTTCTTTCTTACAGTCGGATATTTTGTATCCGACATGTATGACAGTACTTCTTTTGGCTTATTTTGAACTTCACCCATCGTCTGGTATGTAAAAGACAAAAGACCACGACGTTTCGGAGACTGGTTCTGTCTCCGTTTTGAGGTGGATAGGAAAGGATAAACCTACTTAGTTGGGCCCGTTAGAAAGAGCTAGTCTCAATCACTAGACAAACCCCAGTCTGTAGAAAAAGAACATATGAACAACCGACAACCGGTTCCATCAGTGGGAGGAAAGGATAAAATCACAGTAAAAACATGAAAGAAAATTTGTGCCAAGCATGCACTTGTCAACAATGTGAAGAAACAGAAGTATAGGTTATTTTCCATGAATTCAGTTAACAACGAAAGTAAAAACTGGATAAAGCATGCGAAATCTGCGTGGATAAAGAATCGTGCCACCATGGCGACTTCTGTTTCTTCACATTGCTGACAAGTGCACGCTTGGCACAAATTTTCTTTCATGTTTTTACTGTGATTTTATTCCTTTCTCCCACTGATGGAACCGGTTGTCGGTTGTTCATATGTTATTTTTCTACAGACCGGGGTTTGTCCAGTGATTGAGACTAGCTCTTTCTAAGGGGCCCAACTGAGAAGGTTTATCCTTCCCTATCCACCTGAAGACGGAGACAGATCCAGTCTCCGGAACGTCGTGGTCTTTTGTCTTTTACATACCAGACGATGGGTGAAGTCCAAAATAAGCCAAAAGAAGTACAGTATACACCATCGTCAGAATCCTTTCAAGTCTATGTATGCCAGTGCTTTGAAATAAACAGTCCTCTAATTTCCATTGAATGATTAAATGTGTACACACTGTAGGCAGTCTCACCCGCACGAAAATGTGAGATGATCGTCGACATTTTGATTCTGTGGATGTTTGAGACAGTGCTTGATCATGTTGGGAACAGGATTCATTGTTGGACGTGTCTGTGTCTACCTGGTGTAGCGTACGTGACATCTTAAGAGCGGGCTCGGTGGTCGCCTTCAGTTTCTTCACCAGTGATGCTCGAAGACCGGTTTCTGTGATGAGAGAAGCGTTCTTTGCGACGCTGTTTGTGGTGATGACGAATGGTGCTAATACGTTTCCGAGAAATACGGTGTTCTGTAGCAAGACTCTTCTCACAGTAAATACTTTGCGATTGGTTCAAGGTTAAATAGAGAGTCATCAATCAGCAAGGACGTTCTAAACCTCTCCGTTTGTGCTTTTGTTCACTTAGCATTAAAACGCGAACCAGACAGCTTAAATAACGCTCTCGGTACAGGAAGAGAGATAGTTATAGTTCTGTTTTTTAATGGGAAAAGCGAATAGACATCTCAAGTAATACATAATGCTTGCATTAGTATGTTTAAGTGCTTAAGTAAAATAGAGTTTCTGGGTTCCTGGTTATAAAGCTTTTTGCACTGATACCCATTTACATGCCAGTCTCCGGAACTGTGTCTTGTGAAAAGTACAAAAATGACTTTATCCTATGGCGAAATCTAACACGAAGAAAGGCGTGACCCATCAAAGTAATAATTTTTTTTATTGTTAGTGGTGTGGGACTAAGTCCCTCGTACTGCGACCACTTCTGGCCTATTGTACCAGCCCCCAGATGATAGGTGAGGGTGATTGTGGAGCAGTTGGTGGAATGAAGATTGGCAGGGGAACCTAACTACTCGGAGAAAACCTGCCCCAGCGCCACTTTGTCCACCACAAATCCCACTTGACCAGACCCAGGATCGAACCCGGGCCGCCGCGTTGGGAAGTCAGCGACTAAGCGCTTGAGCTGTGACGCGGCTTCATCAAAATAATACTTAGCAATATGAAAATGGTGGTGCCTGAAGATTAATTACCCATGTTATAGTGACGTGGTAACTTGGACTTGATCCAGATGCCAAGGATTTATTTCCTGGCTGTTTGCATGCAATTTAGGACGGCAATGAATCAGTGTATTTCATTTAACGATAATATATTTATTTGCATTATTTAATTGTAATCAGCAACGCACTAAACGCCGATCACAATGGCGGCGCGACCTAAGGCATGAACTGTCTTCGCTCCCTTAAACACTGGGGTCGTGGGTTCGAATTCCAGTCGAGGCGTTGATGTTTAAGTGCCTCGCTGCTGTCTGTATGATCAAGAAACTGTAAAACAGGCCAAGGCGCGCCCACAGAGTGTAGTAGCAGCGCACTGCCTGGCAAGGTGAGAATGTGCACTGTCAGAGAAGTCGGTAACATAATATTGTGGCCTACATCTTCAGGGTAGAAAAATCCGCGAGCTAGGGCCTGAGCTACTTGTCTGCAGCCACCTGCTCACGCTGGTTCCTCGCTCGCGGATTTTTCTGCCCTGAAGATGGAGGCGATACGTTCCTCCGAAACGTCGAGTCCCACAAGATCTACACGGCGCCATATCCCAGAATACAGCGTTCTTCATGTTTTAAATTACTTGTAGAATCGAATGCTCCATCTCCTCTGTCACCGCGCCGTGAGGTCCGCTCATTGTCCTCTAAGCTGGGAGCTTCATCTCTGACCTAGCACTTGGCTGCTTATATAGTAAGGAACTCCATTACGAGGGTCAGTCAAAAAGTTCCCGGAATGGTGGTATAGCACTCTAATGGTAGGACATACGGCAACGCTTATCTGATCACCTTCAAAGTAGGATCCTTGCGCGCACACACACATGCTCCATTGATCCTACCATTGTTGGAAGCAGCGGTGGAAGGCTTCTTTTGGAATCTTCCAGAGCTCAGTCATCGCAGTCGATTTGATGTCCTCCATGGTTGCGAAACTTGTCCCCTTGAAGCTCATTTTCAGAGTAGGGAACAGCCAGAAGTCACTCGGAGCGAGATCGGGAGAGTACGGTGGTTCAGTGCTGACAGGAATGTTTTTCTCGGCGAGGAATTGCGGCACAACAAGCGATGTGTGGCTCGGTGCGTTATCATGATCCAGAATCCGCTGTCCCTGCCACTTGTCGCTCCGCTTCCTCCGAACCGCATCGCGCAACCTCTGCAAAACTTGCATGTAGAAATTGCCAGTAACAGTACCAACTTATTGCTCCAACTCCGCGATGGTCATTCCTCGATCACATCGAATCAGTTGTCGCACTTTTCCAATCATTTCTTCAGTTCTGGGTGTAGAAGGTCTCCCGCTGCGCTGGTCATCCTCTGACGTCTCCTGCCCATCCTTAAACCGGGAAAACCAGTAGTAAACTGCGGATTTGTTTAGTGCAGTATCACCGTAAATTTGCTGCAGGCCCAATAGCGTCTCTGAAGCAAATTTTCCCAATTTGCACATGAATTCGATGTTCGCACGCTGTTCGAACTGCAACATTGCGCCGAATGATCACTCACGTCTAATTCAAACGGAACAGTAATGACACCGCACACTGAAACCTGTCTAGACCTGTTGAGCCTGCGAGCAGACATGCTGAGCTTCCCACCACAACAGTGTGTGCGCTATCTTATCGCTCGTTCTCCGTCTGCAGGGGAATTCCGGGAACTTTTTGATTGACCTACGTATTTTGTACACGTGCCATGACTCGTTTCAGCAGCGCAGTATGTACGTATCCCCTAGGCCTGCTGCGGAGCATCGTTTCTCGACGTGGATGTGGAATCCTTGGCTGTTTTTGTTGGTGGTCCCAGAAAAATGAGTCGATGAGGCTTTTCACGGGTTCACTTTGTTCCTCCAGCAGATGGCGGGATAGTACCTCAATTAGGCCGCGGCCTATTCCAGATATTTTTCATTTCCTTTCGTTACCACATAGGAGGTGTGGCAAAACTTACTGAACGTCAGAGCTGTGTTTATGATACTTTTCGGAAGTTCTGGAGCCGTACACAGACGTGTATTGGGTGGCATAGGTGTTTAGGTGCATTTTTCGCACGAAACATTTTTTGTGTATTAAATAGGTTTGTAAGAAAAGGAACGGTTAGTGTATCTCGCGTGCCGCACTAACTCCGCGCCCCGTGAGCCACGGTTTGATCACGTCTGCTATGGTCCTGGACGCTGGGGTGAAGAAGCAATCTTCATCCCTTCCGAGAACCGAACCTCAGGTCGTTGGTCGCCCAAACCATAGTCTGTTCGCCGTACCGACTGACCTATGGCAACATAATATAATTACTTCAGCTTCATGCACAAGTTACTCTCTAACTCGAGCGAAAAAGAGTGGTTCAAAATTGCGTTCGGACCACATTAATTGTTAAAATTAATTGCTTTGTTTGTAGACGATTAAACAGCGGTAGCTGTAATTTGGTAAGTACAAACTTCACGTCACGAAAATATTACAACAGTGATATTAGGTAAACTTGCCGTTTCAGTGTACAGCGTCATTCATTCATTCATTATTGGAGGGGGTGGGTTTCCCCATGCACCGCGACCAGTTGTTGATCTATTGTACGTCCCCCTTTGATATTCTACCAGTCGCCATACCCTGCCCGTACTGGTGCTTTCTATCAGCCCGTTCAGCCAGCGAGTTCGGCCCCTCTACTGGCAGTGGTACCCGATACTTCCCCCATTGGAAACTACTTGGGCGGGAAACTTTTTACCTAATTTTGCTCAGAGGTCTCCTAGAGACATGAGGATCTTTTACATGCCGTAAATCTACGACACGGGACCCACGGCTTAAAGTCCCTCCCGGAGGGCTTGTTCCCTGAATTTTTCCGCCCTTAAAAATTCCACGACCTCCGCCGGGTTTGAACCCGCGTACCTTGAGTCATGAGGTGGGAACGTTACCCCTAGACTACGGAGGCCGTTCACTGTACAGCTTAGTCGGTGTAACTACTGGGCTAGGGACTGAACTGAGAGGATTCGGGGTTCGGTTCCAGGCAGTGGGGGGCCCTTTCTCCGGTGGTGAAACAGCCGGGATGTGAAGCTGAA